ATGGTTTGTGTTCAGCCGCGTGCTTTTCTTGTTGACTTGTGTTGTTGTACGCTGCGTGCTTTTATGTCTTGTTTTGTCTTGTGCTGTGTAGCATGCAGCTTGGTTTTCGCTGGCTGCGTGCTGTCTTGTCTTGTGTGAACGCGGCTTATGAGTTTTATCATTAGCTGCGTGTTCGTGTCTTTTGTTCAAGCTCATGGCTTGTGATTGTTTTGCTGGCCATGTGCTTTTGTTTTGTGTGAGCACATGGCTTTTGTCTTTGTTTCCTGTGTGCCATGTGCTCTCATGTCAATTGTCTTGACCCCACCCATCTTGTTACCTGATTATTGGTTAATTTGCCCCACCTGTGTTGCCCTCATTGCCCTCCTCATTTGTTCTCCTTGTGTTTGCAGTCCCGTGCCAGTTTGTCGTCGAATGTTCTCGTGTCAACCCTGGTTGTGTCCTGCCCTGCCTTGTCCTGTACTGTGCAGCCTTGCAAATGTCAGCCTGTTTTCCCCCACAGGGTAGTTTTTGTTGTTGTTTTGTTTGATTTTATTATTAATAAAGAGCCCATTCTCTGCACCATTGAGTCCTCGCATCCCTACATCCCCACCCCTGACACCGTCTACATCATGTATTCCACTTGGCTTTCTTTTGAATATGTATTCCAATTGTAATCAAGCAAGCAGCTTGCTCTAAACTGTCTAAATATTCTGGCAAACTCCAACATCATTATTCCAAAGGCAAATGTTCCCTGTCGTGTGCCTTGTCCTGCCTTGTCCTGCCATCCAGTCAAGTTGCCAGCTGTTTTTCCCCCTATGGGGTAGTTTTTGTTTGTTTTGTTTTGTTTCTGCCTTTAATAAAGCCCTTATCTTCCTGCAATATTGAGTCCTCGCTCCATCCTTCATCCGCAACCCTGACAGAACCCTGACAGTACGAACACGCCAAAGATGAGGACTCAGCGGAGGAAGGGCTTGCACCGTCCACCAGCCTCCGCTCTCTCCAGCCCTCTCTATGAACACATGCTCCAGTTCAAGTCCTTGAGCTCCCTCCGTCAACAGGGGGCTGACCTGAGGGAGTTCGCCCTGGAGTTCAGCATAACTGCAGAGGGACTGGGGTTCAATCATGCGGCCCTCAAGTACCTCTTTAATTACGCCCTTGATGAGCCCCTCAACTGGTGGAGAATGAGGGGGCTGGACCGCCTGACGTTTGGGGGATTTGTGGAGTTTTTGTTACGGCCCCCAGCTAAGGAGGCTGCAGTGCTGCCCGTGGTGGCTGACAAAGCTGCAGCGCCCCCACTGGTGGCTGGAGAGGCTGCAGCGCCCCCAGAGGTGACTGACGATGCTGCAGCACCCCTAGTGGCAGCCGACAATGCTTCAGCACCCCTAGAGGCGGCCGAAGAGACGGCAGCACCTCACTCTCGTAAACGGAGGAGGGGTAGGAGGAAGAATGGGTACGCCTCACCACCCCTAGAGGTGGCTGAAGAGGCTGTAGCGCCCCTAGAGGTGGCCGATGAGGCTGCAGCACCCCCAGCGGTGCCTTATGAGGCTGCAGCGCCCACAGTGGCGGCCGAAGAGGCTGCTGTGCCCCCTGAGGTGGCCGATGATGCTGCAGCGCCCCCAGAGGTGGCCGACGATGTTACAGTGCCCCGGTCTCAGAAACGGAGGAGGAAAAAGGCTTCCTCCATCCCACATGGCCTGGAGGCCGTCCAGGAGCCTGCTGCTGGCCTGGAGGCCGTCCCAGACCCTCCCAAGCTCCTTGCCCTGCCGGCGCCTCCCAAGCTCCTTGCCCTGCCGGCGCCTCCCAAGCTCCTTGCCCTGCCGGCGCCTCCCAAGCTCCTTGCCCTGCCGGCGCCTCCCAAGCTCCTTGCCCTGCCGGCGCCTCCCAAGCTCCTTGCCCTGCCGGCGCCTCCCAAGCTCCTTGCCCTGCCGGCGCCTCCCAAGCTCCTTGCCCTGCCGGCGCCTCCCAAGCTCCTTGCCCTGCCGGCACGTCCCAAGCTCCTTGCCCTGCCAGCGCCACCCAAGTTCCTTGCCCTGCCAGAGTCTGCTCCAGAGCCCGCTCCAGTCCAGGACCCCTTTTATTGGTTAATTTGCCCCACATGTGTTCCCTCGTTACCCTGCTCATTTGCTCTCTATTTATTGTCCTTGTGTTTGCAGTCCTGTGCCAGTTCGTCGTTGAATGTTCCCTGTCGTGTGCCTTGTCCTGCCATCCAGTCAAGTTGCCAGCTGTTTTTTCCCCGATGGGGTAGTTTTTGTTTGTTTTGTTTTGTTTCTGCCTTTAATAAAGCCCTTATCTTCCTGCAATATTGAGTCCTCGCTCCATCCTTCATCCCCAACCCTGACATTTAAGGTGTTAAATGCTGCACTGCCATCTGTCGACGGGAATCAACACAATCGTTTCTTGAGTTTTATGTGAATTACACTGATTCTAGTGAGTTTTAAAGAGTGGTCTACACAATAAATAATTCCCTTACCTGGTCAACAACAAAAGAAGCGACTTGAGCGTATCTATTCAGGATTTTCTCCATTAAATCTTGCCTTTAGGTATGGAGTACCAATGTTTACGCTTGTCTTTTTTTTCTTTGCAGTTCCTAACGGCATCTGGCTTCAGACCTTTTCAGCTTCTTTGGCCTAAATCAAGATAATAACTGTCTATATAGTCCACTGTCCTTGTTTTTGTTCACCAAACATTCTTCTTCTTCTTTTTTGATGAGATTTGCAACAGACTAGACGCATCAACTCACGAAACATTACTAAGCTATCAAAAGAGGCTGCAGCCAACGAGCGGGAAAATTCTCTCAGACGTTACCAGAGATTGATTTATTATTGGGAGATGAGAGGATCTAGAGTGTAACGGCTAACTTGGATCACGTGAGGTACCTCAGCCAATCAAACAGTGGCAGTGACGTCAGTGGCCGACTTTTTTTCACAGTAAAATAAAGAAAATAGTGCAAATTGCATTAAAAAAAAAACAGCGTGATTGGGCATACAGACTAAAAATGTCATTTATTTGTTGAAATCTGGAAGCCATAGAAAGAATACCTTTTTATTTATTTTATTTATTTATTTATTTTACCTTTATTCATTAAAAAGCATTATATCATCATACGCAGCAGTCACAAGTCATAACATACATTTCAAGTCTATTGAAACTTGGAACCCATATAAATAACATTTTATTTTCATTAAACAACATACAATGTAATGCAATAATTGAAATAATTCATTCACGTCCTCATAAAATGCATTATTTCAACAGAACGCATATGGTCACATAATCGTTATTACAATTCAAGTCTAATTTCAGGTAAAACCTGAAAACCAAAGAAAGAAAACTGATATTTTTAGACAATAAACAATATTACATATATTTTACTGAATAGTAATGCGACACACCTCAGCTGGTAATAATAATGCCGTAAATGAGTTCAACCTGTCGCGACATTCCCTACTTTGCCTTCTCCTAAAAAATGACATTTTTATCAAGGAAAAATCTACATATAGTTCCAAATGAAAGTAATGTTTGGTGTAACCCTTATGAAAAAGAAGTTTATTCAAGTGTGCTATTAGTATACTTTTAAACTAAAAATAGGAAAGTAACTTAAACATATACTTGAACTTTACTTAAGTATACTTACTAAAATAAGCTTGAAGTATACTAATTTTTGGTAAGGGAAAACATGTTGAAGATTGGCGAACAGGTCGTAGATTCATTAAATGATAAGTTATTTCCTCACAAAAGCTGTTTATTCCGAGTAGTGACGCCTCTTCTCCATTGACATCCATTCAAAAAGCCGCCAAGGCCGCAGCATATTAGCCGTTCGTTACATGTCATTGCAATATGTTTCCAACATTCCAACAGTTTTTTTGTTCTACTTTTTGTAGCATGATGAGTGCAGTCTTTATCGCATGCAAGTGTACACCATTCAGATGACTCTTCACAAAATACAACTTATCTTTTTAATGTGTAAAACGTTTTAGGCACCTACTAAATAGCCTACACCTTTAAAGTTTTTGACGGAATAGACACAAAGGAGAAAAGAAACAAGTCTTTGTTAAAGAAAAGGGGATGTTTACTTTTTACTCCTTTTTTATTTTATCCTTAAATTGTATTCGTTAATTAAATTTGTGTTTAATATCTGATACATAAGCACACTCATACAAATCATTTATCATCTTGCTCTTAAAGCCGAGCTCATCCTCACTGTTAAGATAGTTTAGTCCTTTACACGTTAGTTTCTTTGGAACACATGAAAGACCAACTATATCGTGGTACAGTACTAGCTGCTTCTTATAAACAATTCCGAATAATTACATAACTAAAACTGGAGTTATAATTGATTATAAAACTGGCTAATAATGAAAAATGCATCACTAATAGAAAATCTATTTCAAAACTGATGCACAGAACTGTCAACTTTCATATGATCAGCTTCCAGGTCACGTGCACTTCTGTGTTCTGCCAACAGATGGCAGTAAAATCAAAGTAAACTGATCTGACTTCAAGCGTCACAATATAAACATTATTATGGTGAGCGTTTTATTCTTTTCTGGATTATTTAAATACCTTTCTATTTATAATGTCGAACCCAGAGAGTAATAATAACAGCTGAATAGCAATGTGAAGTAATAGTGGCAGGAGACGAAAGCAATTACACCCTTGCATCCTACTGTAAGCTAAGGCTAATTCCAGCTCCATGCTGACATGAATTATGAGACATTTCCCTTAAATTAAATTTATCTGTAAATTATCAGATTTTTTCCTCTCAAGGCCTATCTTATTAATATTCATTATGTGACGTTTGACGTTGCTTGGTAATCGTCCTGAAATGTCCAGTCGCACAGTCTCATTAATATTCATAACCGAGTCTGTGGGTCACTTCGTCAGCTCTCTACCGCCTCCATTCGTCGAAGTGCCACCCACTTACTGCATTTCAGCCAATCAGTAAAGACCGTCACGTTAAATAATTAATATTAATGAGCCCCGCCTTCAGCATAGTAGGATTGGCTGAGCGCAGCCGCAGAGCGTGCGCAGTGCCGGCTCGGTTCTCGGTGCTGCTGACCTCTCCTACTCCGCTTCTGGATGTGGGATGTGTTTTCTGGTTGTTTGTCCTTGATTTAATACGGTGTGGTACATTAGTGCAGCGGACGCAGCAGTGGTCGTACCAGGTATGTTATGATATGTTAATGAGCATCAGAGGGTGTCTGTAATAATACACATGTCGATATATATACATCGTGTTCATACTCTGAGATAATCATTGCATTTATACTGTAATGTTCAGTAGGCTTACACTTAAATGTGTGTGTTTGCGTGTGTTATGTAGTAAGCAATGGCTCTAGGGGTTTGTTTTAACCGCGGTTTTACCTGTTTCTGTGGAAGTGTCAGTAATATCTAGTGTGTTGTGTGATGAGTGTGCAGAATTGGGTTATGTTTTTTCGGACAATGGGTCATAAACTCAGATGAGGGTACAGTGACCTATGGACGGTGTCTCACATGCATTATGCATCAGGACAACACCCCATCCTCACACTCATCCCATACAGTATCACAGCAGATCTAATGCCTGCTCTGGCTAACAACACCCTATACATACTATCATAATCATACACACTCAGTACAGTCCAGCAGATGTAATGTTTACTGTCTCTGACTACACCCTGTTCACCTAATCGCTGTTAGATTATCATGCAAACACATCATTTTCTGCAGCTTCTAATGTTTTGACATGTTCTTAAACTGTGCTTCATGTGGTAACAGCCATATTAATGAAGATTAGTTTATACACACATATAAGGATTATGACTAATCAACCTGTCTCAGGACAGGTTACACCAGTAATATTGTTATTATTACGAAAAACAATTACAAAAAATGCAGCGAATAGAAAATAATTTCAACAAAACTGCTTATTAATATTTGTGGTAAAACTGTAGTGTGGTGCAAGAAACATAACAGAGAAAACACACACACATTACAAAATGACATTAAAAACAAGATATGTCATGTATATTACAATAAATTCAACTAAATTTGAAAGAATAAACACTAAACAATTTACATAACTATTTATGTAATAGGGACATATTATAAACAAGATGCACAGTATACACTATATATCCATACATACATATAATTCTTTGGATTTAAGATTAGGACTTAAACTGCAATATAAACCTATGTTTTGAGTTAATCTCACACCCTCGCTGGCACTTTTCTACATCAGGAGGAAGAGGTTTAGAGCGTTTGTCTGTAGACACGGCCACTCCTCACTTCAGCAAACACTTCGTGTCAATAATGCAGTCTGATAGGAGCCACCCATCACATCACTATATCACACGCTCACTGCCATTCACAGAAGTCAGTGCTGAATTCTGCAATGATTGCATGCAGTTTAGAGTCTGATTGATCTGATGATGCTCAGTTTGAATGATTAATTAATTAAATATGAGTGGTGTTTGGAAAACTCATCGCCACAATGCTAGAGCGCAGTGGATTGTTGCCAGGGCTGGTTGCTCAGTTTTTGACTGCGCAAGTCAAAAATACATTTGTAGCTCTTTTACCTGGTGAAAAATGCAACAGCTCAGCAGACAGTTTAATAATTCAAATCACAAAGATTGAGCAATATTAGCAAACATAATTAGCGAACTTCACTAATAATAAACAAGACTGAACCATCAAACACTGAACTACAAACCAACAGTATTTATTTACCAAAAACTACATTCAAATTGCATTCATACATAGTATTTTCTTGTAAAATTAACTTCAATAAAACTCCAGTGAAATCTTACTTAAAAAAATTCGTGTTTAATTCAGTGTTTTACTTGCTGTTTCTTTGTAATTATTTGTGAAATTTACTAGTAATTTCTGAGTGAAAATGGTTTGAGTGTAGAATGACTTGATTTTACCGTTACCTTGTTTTAAGACTTATTTCTAAATTAAAATTCATTTTAAAACTTTTTTTGGAAGTCAAAAATGCCCTGATATCATAATGAAGAAAAAGACTCGTTACAAAAATTCTAAAAAAGAAAAGTAGTTTGGCTTAATAGTAATTTTCTTCAGTAAAATATTTCAGCAAAACTGCTTATTAATATTTGAATGAATGTAAATGTGGTAATGTGGTGCAACCAGCATGCAGAAACATGCAGAGAAAACATAAAACAGGAAATGATATCATAGAGACAGACGACCCTCCTGGCTTTGTGTCAAGGCCAATAGCTCTCTTAAGAATGTGACCTTTTTATGACAAGGAAAGGTTAGTTCACATGATAAAATGTCATGTGGTGCAACTCCCCAAAATGTAATGATAATTATGAATTAAACATAAGATGTGCACTCTCACATAGGTTCGAGTTGTATATCATAGAGACAGACGACCCTCCTGGCTTTGTGTCAAGGCCAATAGCTCTCTTAAGAATGACCTTTTTATGACAAGGAAAGGTTAGTTCACATGATAAAATGTCATGTGGTGCAACTCCCCAAAATGTAATGATAATTATGAATTAAACATAAGATGTGCACTCTCACATAGGTTCGAGTTGTAGGGAATTTAAATGTAAACTTTTGTTGAAAATCGCAAAAAGGTCTTTTCAAACTGTATAAGACCAATATGAATAAATGTGTTTTACATTAGATTTTTCCTTTTTTATTTTGGACATTTTTATTTGTCATCAACCCAGATGCGTTTGAAGCATTCAGGTAAGGGCTTGCCTGTAAAATGCATTAGAGGCCATAAGTCACATGCTAGCTCTAGCCCGTTATTGAATTCAGAATACAAAGACATTTAGGAAGCAAACCCTTTCCCATTGACTCATGATTGGTGAATCACAAAGCTGACTGGAGTTTTTCTCTAAAACAACATATTGAACATGCACTAGCTGCCTTTGTATCAGGTTTCAGCACCATAGGGAATTGCATTGATTGAAATCTTCATTTGGTGTAGTAACAGTCACAAGACATGGCGCAGTTTAAAGACTGAATCCACAGGGTTGCATCTGGTCATTATGGCAGTGACAAGAATCTCCATGCATAAGCTTTTGATGATGGGTTATTCTGGAAAGACTTGGACACCTGGAAAGATGCAGAAGATGAGTCCGTATCTGTCAAATGCAGCACTTACAGTGGAATCTACATCTCTGTGAAAACACATCCTGGTCATATTTCACCCCAAAATCGAAAAATATAGAAAAAATATAACTATATTATATAAGTAAATCTATTTTTAGCACTGTTACAGTTTCACATTATCATTACTGTAATGTATCGGATGCATTTTTTGTAATTTTCAGACAGATGATTGTCATTAAATCAGCATAAATGTAGAGCATTCAATGATATTATGTAATAAACACTAATAATGAGCGGATTATTTTTTGATTACGGTAATGACAGTAATGGGATTTTTTGCATTATGGTAATGAGGACTGTGAAATTAAAAGTGTCACAATGCATCTTAATTTTCACATTTTTAACCTGCTATGTTTATCATACTGAAAACAAGCAGCATTTCTCATTACTGTTAGTCATAATAACATAATGCTAAACTGATACTGTTCGTTGTAATAGCACAGCCATGCTGGCATAAATGCACATCCAACTTGTGTTATCTCACAGATTTCATCACTGACTCCATATTTGTGCTCTATTTCTGTGTCTTTGTTGCCATGGATATTAGAGAGGGGTGAGCGGTTAGTTCAGTAGAGGCTGGAATACATTCACGCTGAACAGATTTTAAAACCTAGGCACATGCCGACTTTGTAAACAGTTACAGAGAAAAACTGGGCATCATACACTAAACTACTGAGGAGGATCACACATTAACAGACTTTCAAGTCTTTCCAAACTCATGCAGAAACATGCGTTGTGCTGCTAGGAGTCGCGTGACAAATGAAAACAATATTCAATGAAAACAATCGACTCAAAATATCAAACATGTTTGATATCCTCCGACTGGATGAAATCATAGTCTTTAACTGCCCAAAATCTACTGACTGACTATGACGTTCAGCATCTATAACGTGGACTATAAGGTTATAGTATAGTTCACCCAAAAATGAAAATGTATTCACCCTCAGGTCATCCAAGATGTAGATGAGTTTGTTTCTTCATCAGATTTGGAGAAATGTAGCATTGCATCACTGTCTCAGCAATGGAGATAAAACATCACAATAATCCATACGTAATCCACAGCACTCCAGTCCAATAATTAATGTCTTGAGAAGCCAAAAGCTGCATGTTTGTGGATTATTGTGATGTTTTTATCAGCTGTTTGGACTCTCATTCTGACGGCACCCATTCACTGCAGAGCATCCATTGCTGAGCAAGTGACGTAATGTTAGATTTCTCCAAATCTGATGAACAAACAAACTCATCTATATCTGGGATGACCTGAGGGTTTTTTTTTTTTCATTTTTGGGGTGAACGATTCCTTAAATGTTGTAGTTTACATAAAAGGCCTCAATAGGGGGAATTTTCATTTCTAACAGCTGTGGCTTTGTCTTAGTTGTTCCTTTCTGGTTAATTATTAATAGAGGACTAGCAGCAGAGCAAGGTTTAACTTGTAAGTAAATGATTTTCATTGTGGAAATTAACAGGTAAAAGTCATAGTGACATTAAACAATGACATGATTTCATCACACCTTTGTATCAAACCCTATTGATGCATTATAGAACATTTATTCATGGTTATATTTTAATAAATGGTTATTATGAGACAGAAAGGACTATTATCCATCATGTGATTGGCTTTATTGATTGAGCTGGATCACATGACCTACTGGAGGCTGAATTGGATGGGTATTACAGCATGAGACTGATGTTGTCAGGGTGAAGTGTAAATGCTTTACACCGAGCAGATTTTAAAACTTAGGCCTAAAGCTACTGTTGTGACAACTTTGGTCAGTTAAGGGATCCAAATAGGGCTGCCACAATCATGCATTTTGGTTGAATTATAGCATACAGGTAATTGTGATTGATAATTTAATTGTTCCCTTCATACATTTATTTAACTTGCTGTTTGAGATTGATACACAAACATGTGCAATATGCACAATATATTTGTAGCATAATAGTTATTATAGATTTTGTCCATTTATTTGGTACCAGTCAGTATAGATTGTTTTTGTCATCATCTAATGCTGTAACGTGTATGGTCATCATCTAATGCTGGTCTTTGTTCATGAGTTCATTCCCTTGTTTAGTCATCTGTTGTCTGATTAATTATCTCATTAGTTCCCTTTGTTTGGTTCATGCTTATAAGCCCTCAGTTCTCCCTTAGTCTCTGCCCATTCTCGTTTGTAGATTGTGGTTTCCTCCTAAGTTGTTCCTGTTTCCTGAGCACTTATGATTAAGAGTATATTTCCTTACTATTCCTTGTTGAGAGAGTTTCTACATTAACCACATTACGTAACAAATACTTACTCTAAAAACACTAATAATTTAATAACACTGTTAATGAAGTGTCATCTTAAGCACATCTAAATTTGAATATTCATTTTTCATGATGCATATTATAATGTTGTGATGCCTGCATTCCCCAGTAGTATTTAAAGTTTATATAAATTTTCTAATGAATATATATATATATTTTTTTTTTTCTAGTTATGTCAATTTGAAATATTGAATCTGTAGAAATTGTGATTTGTGAGTGAATATAATTGTAAAAATCTTGTAACGGCAAATTACTAGAAAACTGGTAATAATTGGTAAATAATTTGGGGAAATAAAAAGTGTAAACCCTGAAGAGCATTCAGTTATTAAAACTTATAATGAAAATTATGGAACTTATTTTAAATTATTGACAATCCTAGTTTCTTTACATAATAATAATAAAAAGAGCAACTTTGTCATTATAACAGAAGTACCAGAAATATTTTAGGGAGCCTTCAGAAACTGGAGACAAAATGGTTGAGAACTGCTGCTGTAGATAGTTAGTTGTGAGTTAATGTTTGGTTAAACTCAAGTATAGAGTAAAAAAAATTATTGCCCACATAGTACTGTAGTACCACTGTAGTGTCTGATTAAATGTCTATGAGAATGATATCCTTCCCTTTTTGTATACACTAGAGTTTTTGAAATGTAGCCTATGTTTTTCTTGCAATTAATACTGCTTATCAACTTTTCTGTAAAGGTTTTTTGATTCATGTTGTTTTTTTTTTTAAGCACATTTGTTGCCAATTCTAGTACTGGATTAATATATTTGACAATACATTGCAATTTAAAGTGCACAAAAAATAAAGAATGATCAGATATAATTGAAATAATTCTCACATCATTCCAAACCCTCAACTCTGTGCCTTTTCCTTCACAGGCCTCCTGACCTCCATCAGAGTATGTCCACCATGGTTTACCCCCACGAGGAGAGACTAGAGAAGCTGACGCAGGAGGAGATCATCTCCAGCACTAAACTGGTGATTCAGGGTCTGGAAGCTCTCAAGAGCGAGCACAACTCCATCCTGCAGAGTCTGGTGGAGACCATCCAGTGCTTAAAGAAAGATGAGGAGGCCAGTTTGGTTCATGAGAAGTCCAGCCTGCTGCGCAAGTCTGTGGAGATGATTGAGCTGGGCCTGGGTGAAGCGCAGGTGAGAGACGATGACAGTATGGGGTGGGGTGAATGGATATGGTGAATACCACTGAATTTGCAGAAAGTCTGTTGTTAGCATCCATTGCTGAACTACTTAATAATGTAAAAATATTACAACACCTGTATTACATATTAGGTGATGATGGCCCTGTCCAACCACTTGAACGCAGTGGAGTCAGAGAAGCAGAAGCTGCGTGCTCAGGTGCGACGGCTCTGTCAGGAGAACCAGTGGCTGAGGGACGAGCTGGCCAACACACAGCAGAAGCTCCAGAAGAGCGAACAGAGCGTCGCACAGCTGGAGGAGGAGAAGAAACATCTGGAGTTCATGAACCAGCTCAAGAAATATGATGATGGTGTCTCACCAGAGGTGATTCTCAGTGGGGTGGAGCGTCATACTGGCACAAACACCACAATAACATCATGTTGCAAATGATATTCCCCCGATTTCTATTTTTATTTTTAAATATTGTAGGAAATAGTATATGAAAAGAAGTTAACTTTACACTACAGTAAGAAAGTTCATGGTGCCGGATTCGACCTCCAGTGTTATTCTGTGTTGTTATGGTTTACTAAACCTAAAACTATTAAAAATCATTTTTCACTTATTGAAATGAAGCTGAAATTAAATAAAACATAAATATTAGAAGAAAAGCCTATTTTATTTCAGCAACTAACTGAAATAAATCTGAATTTGAAGTACTAAAATTACTTAAACTAAAACTGAAATAAAAATAAATTAAAGCCAAATATAAATAATAATAATAATAAACCTAGACAAAAGCACATAACATAATTTGTAAAACTTAAACTACAATTAGAATGGAAACTAAAAATATTAAAATAAAAGCTAATTCAAATATGAATAAATACTAAAACAGTATATAAATAATACTAAAATAACACTGGAGTCATTATTTGTTATTCATACTGTGTCTGTCCATTCAAACAAAGTTAACTGTTGTTGTTTTTCCCAATATTATTGTTATTACTATACCAAATATACAATATATTTCGTTTATATTCTAGATTATTTGGAGAATATATTTGGAAAATATGCTGAGATGTATATCCCAATTCATTTTTTGAAAGATTGATTAATCTATCTATCTATCTATCTATCTATCTATCTATCTATCTATCTATCTATCTATCTATAATTTTCTGTTTTTATATTTAATGTAGTTTGTTTTAGTAATTTTGTTGTGTTTTTGGCATTTTTGTTTTCTTTTACAATATGTCTATATAGTTTTTAATCATTTTTATTTCAGTTTTATTTTTTTTTTTTGTAATAGTTTATTTTATTTCATTTAAAGTTTATGGTTTTAGTTTTAGATAACTAAAATAACCCCGTCGTATCCCTTGATCTGTTTTGATCTTGTATTCATTTGAATACATTTATAAGTCATTTACTAAATTAAAAACTAAATTGCAATGTTATTGGTGCTAGAAACCATGACTAACATTATAAGTGGACTTCTAAATGGATAAAAGGGGACTTTTCTGGCTTAAATCTCCTCTGCAGCTACAGCCTGACTTTTCTTGGGAAATGAGCCATGTCCTTCTTCCTCTGTGTGCAGCCAGCATTGATTTATTGACCTTGTAGACGGATGACTCTGTTTTGCTGGATGGAGATGTTACATCGTTACTGTGTGATGAATTAGTAAATTGTATTCCCTGGCAAAGTCCTCTCCTTTACTTCAGTCCAATGTTTTTCATTCTTCTGTTTCTGCAGTGGAAGCATTTGAAGACACTCAATCTGTTCAAATGACAGTTGCCTCAAGCTTATCATTTATATTTCATGAAGGGCTGTTTCATGCAGTTACTTCCTGAATTAATGGAGCCATTAAAATCTCTAAAGACAGTCATGCATGGACAGAGATGCAACTGACTCTAGAAATGATCTGATATATAAGATTACTAGTAACAGAGCGGCACAGACTGTATTTAAACAAGAATCATGATAAATTGAATATTTAAATCTTTTTTTTTTTCTTTGATTTTGTTTTAGGAAGAGAAAAATAGTGAGACTCCCAGAGATGCCCTGGACGATTTGTTTCCCAATGATGAAGACGACCAGGGTAAGGATGTAAAATGATACAGCCACAACTTGTAGTGTGGACTTTGCTATTGCTATTTTTTTCCTGTTGATGAACGATAAACAATTTTTCAGTTGGATTCTACATAACTTTAACCTGTTAACTGCTAGCAGGACACCTGGCAGTACTACGTCAATTGCCTTTTTCTCTATCATATATTTGATTTTTAGCATCTTAAATTAGGTATAATTCAAAAGCTTCAATGCACTAAAAAGTCATCCTGGGAAAACGGTTTTCAAATTGGACATTGCGTTACCATCTTTTTCTAATCTTAACAAAACACATATTGGTGGAAAAGCCTGAGACTCAGTGTTGCATATTTGGCAACAGATTTGTGATAAAAGTGAAAGGTGGCATAAAATGTATTAATTTGTGGCAGGAGAAAGCATCAATGCCTAAAAATCTCCCAGGAACTTCAGTTTTTGTGATATCAACTTCAAATTTGGAACACAACTTGGTTAGACATATGGCTTTGATTTTCTAGCAATTTTAGAGTCCAATTTATTTTGTAAAATATATATTTTTTATCAAATAAAAAAAAAAAAAGTTTGGTGCAGTGTATTTGCTTTACAACAGACTTATACTTAAACCTTTTTACACTTTCACTTCAGCATTAACCCGCTGAGTATTTTCTTTAAAAAGTGATCACGCTTTGGTCTGTGTACCAAAGCATTAAAGAATTACAACCATTAAAGTTCAGTTACTGTATTTTCACTTCTATTGAGGGTGAGAGTTAACAGATTTTAAAGATCTCAAGCATTAAAAGCACCAGATGGCATAATGCAGTGCCTGCTTATAAGAAAACAGAGCGTTATCGTTGCTAATATAATTATCGTTATAGTTGTTGTTCTTGGTGTGAACAGCCCATAATGCTTGTTAGCATTTGGCCATCTCATGGCCATTGATTTGTACATCCCTTTTTGTCTGCTACCCAATAGTCAATGTGGCGTTACGTTACCAAAGTGTGGATTTGAGGAGAACCAGAAGAATGGTATTTGGGACATAGCCGGAGAAACCATTCAGTTCATATTTTTGATATTAACAGTGTTACTCTCTGTCGCCCCCTTCAGTCTCACACCGGCACAACAGCGCCGCGCTTGCTGCCGCTCAGCAGGGAGGGTATGAGATCCCAGCGCGCCTCAGGACCCTCCATAACCTGGTGATCCAGTATGCCGCTCAGGGCCGCTACGAGGTGGCCGTGCCTCTCTGCAAACAGGCTCTGGAGGACCTGGAGAAAACCTCTGGACACGACCATCCCGATGTGGCCACCATGCTCAACATCCTGGCTCTGGTCTACAGGTGCGTGTTTGCTCAGGTGCATGTGGAGTCATCACAAACCTATGTTCTTAGTTACATGAAACACAAAAGGAGACATTTTAAAATAACAGTAAATGACCACTTTCAGGCATCACAAAGAACACAGAAGCATCATTAAAATGATCAGCATGGCTATATTTACAATGGCTATTAAAAGTACTATTATTGAGCAAATACCGACTTAAATTACTCCATAAATGCAGTGATTTGTAATTTAGTGCACAAGTCATTTGGACTACTATTATGTCACTTTTATAGTATTAGCTTCGTCTTTGAAGCTCCAGTTTCCATTATTCGTAACTGCACTGACAAAACAACCGGTATGTTTTTCAACGTTTCTTCTTTTGTGTTCCACCGAAGAAATAAAGTAATTTGTTTGGTTTACAGCGAAGTGATCGTGAGTACATGAGGACAGAACTCTCTTTCTTTAACCAGCAAGACTTCCTTAGTCAACCAGCTTTACCAGAAAAGTCATGCTGGTTAACCAGCTTGAATAAAGCACGAAATTAGTCCGCAGATTCTGTCTGGGCCTGTTTACATGTTTGGATGTACTTAATCATTTCATCAAATTATGCCATATTTTATATATATTTTTTAAATTCCTCATGGTTTTCAGCATCCTCTGTCAGAACTGGCGATTCTGTTTGCAAATTTGCCTAATTTGGCATGTTGTCATGGAAAACAAATACTTCTTTATTTAATTTAGAGTAATATTTAAGTGACAGATATGGAGACCTGTTTCCGCGACTGAATAAAAAATAAAACAAGGTAATTGCGACTTTTTATCTCACATTTCTGGCCTTTTTCTCAGAATTGCGTGATATAAACTCACAGTTGCATGTTATAAAATCCAATTCTGAGGAAAAACGAGACTTACAGATTTTCTTACAATTGCGAGTTTATATCTCGCAATTCTGACTTTTTTCTCATAATGCTGATTTTTTTTTTCAGAATTGTGAGATGTAAACACACAATTGCCATAGAGTCCAATTCTGATGAAAAAATAGACTATTTTCTTACAATTGAGAGTTTTTTCTCGCAATTGCGAGTTTATACCTGTTTGGTATCATTTATATCACACAATACTGAGAAAAAAGTCAGAATAGTGAGATTAAAAAGTCGCTATTACCTTTTTATATTTTTTATTATTCTTCCACAGAAAGAAGATTGTCCACTAGACCTACTAAAATAAGCCTCTCAAAACTAAGACTTTACTGTGTTTCTCTTCACTCAGGGACCAGAATAAATACAAGGAAGCTGCTCATCTCCTTAATGATGCCCTGTCAATCAGAGAGAAAACCCTGGGCAATGACCACCCAGCTGTAAGTACAACGAAACACATATTACTCTAGCAACAGGGAGAATATACAGTTGTGCTTGGGATCTCTACTATATTTGCTACTCAATGTCTTCCAAGATTCAGTGCCTCGAATGCCTTGCGAACTTCAAATCAAGAAACTAGTTCTTCCTGTGAAGTGTTCATTGAAGCCTGAGACCTATAGGAACGATGGCGACTGTTAAAACCTCTGCACTTTTTACATAATTGTGTAAAGCCAGGCGATAAGATTGGAGCCTGTGATAAGAAAGCTTTAGCTGTATTTATGACAAATGGTCCATGAACAGTACACAGGCATTCTGTCTGGATCCACATAGTACCCTGTAACCTGTAATCCAGGTGGCAGCCACCCTAAACAACCTGGCGGTCCTGTACGGAAAGAGAGGAAAATACAAGGAAGCAGAACCGCTGTGCAAGAGAGCCTTGGAGATCAGAGAGAAGGTACTATCAGAAGAAACAGGCCTGTTTGTTGGGCTGCAGAAGCCTCTTGTGTCAACTGTTTAATATGATAAACATGTCTCTCTTTCATTGCTCAGGTGTTGGGGCGGGAGCACCCAAACGTGGCCAAGCAGCTGAATAATCTGGCTCTGCTCTGTCAGAATCAGGGGAAGTATGAGGAGGTGGAGTATTATTACTGCAGGGCTCTAGATATCTACGAGAAAAAACTGGGACCTGACGACCCGAATGTTGCCAAGACCAAAAACAACCTGGTGAATATAATCAGCACTCCTCTTGAGTCCAAACAGCCTGTGTTTGCACAATAAAACAGCCTCATTCATTGAGAGATCTGTTTGCAGTGAAAAGAATTAAAACAAAAGAGAAAAACACAAAAGTCTAGTTCAGATTATACACTGTATATATTATATAACAAACCCTGGCAAAAGTCGGTTAGAGTCAGTAGGATTTTTTTTAATTGTTTTTGAAAGAAGTCTCTTATGTCACCAAGGCTGTATTTATTTGATCAAAAATACAGTAAAAGAGTAATATTGTGAAATATTTTTACAATTTAAAATACCAGTTTTCTATGTGACTATATTGTAAACTGTCATTTATTTCTGTGATGCACAGCTGTATTTTCAGCATCATTACTCCAGTCTTCAGTGTCACATGATCTTCAGAAATCATTCTAATATGCTGATTTGCTCTCAAGAAACGTTTCTGATTATTATCAATATTGAAACAGTTGTGCTGCTTAATATTTTTGTGGACACCATCATTTGTTTTCAGGATTATCTGATGAATATAAAATTCAAAGAACAAAATTAATGTGAAAGATTTTTTTGTAACAATGTAAAAGTCTTCTTTTGTCACTTATGATCAAGTTAATTCATTCTTGCTCAAAAAAGTAACTTCTTAAAAAAGTTTTTTTTTTTCATAAACTTCTTTAAGGAAAATCTTACTGACCTCAATTGAAATGGTAAATATAGTTATTATATAGTATAATAGATATTGTATATGTATTATATTTGTGTGTGGATGGATGGATGATGGATGGAGGGATGGATGGATGGATGGATGGATATTGTATAGTATAATAGATATTGTATATGTATTATATTTGTGTGTGGATGGATGGATGGATAGATGATGGATGGATGGATGGATAGATGATGGATGGATGGATGGATAGATGATGGATGGATGGATGGATAGATGATGGATGGATGGATGGATAGATGATGGATGGATGGATGGATAGATGATGGATGGATGGATGGATAGATGATGGATGGATGGATGGATATTGTATAGTATAATAGATATTGTATATGTATTATTATGTATTATATTTGTGTGTGGATGGATGGCTGTATGGATGGATGGATGTATGGATGGATGGATGGATGGATGGATGGATGGATAGATAGATATCGTATTATATAGATGTATTATTATATGACATATAAGCAGTATAATATGTACAGTAAAATTTATTGTGCTAAATTATATATAAATATTCACATTGCATCTCCTTTTTCCTTCCTTGCACATAATGCACCATTTAAAAAATTATACATTTTATCTATAATCTTTAACAGAATTAATCATACATACCACTTTTTTTTAAGTGTATGCCGTAATTGTAAAATCGCTTCTTTATTTTCCCTGCAGGCTTCATGCTATCTGAAACAGGGCAAGTACAAGGAAGCTGAGATCCTCTACAAAGAGATCCTGACGCGCGCCCACGAGAAAGAGTTTGGATCTGTAGATGGTACGATCAATGCCTGAGTATGGCTCTTCATTATTCATTAGCTGACAGACTGCATGCTTCCTTCTTACGAAAGTTTTTTTTCTCTCTTTTTTTGCAACAATATAAAACTGAACTGTTGTCATTGCTGAATGATGCGTTTTGATGACTTCACCAGCCAACGTGCGACTCTTGATCTCGTGACCTTTCTGCACACCTGACCTCTGGTTTACTACCATTCACTGTGAGCCGTGGATTTCACAGAAATCCAGGAGCAAACACAACAGATAAAACATCTTTTTAATACCATCAAATATAGGGTTTGGGACTAAATCTTACATGTTCTTGCCATATATGTATATATGTTTTTCTGTGAAGATGAATTAGAAATCCAGGAGCAAACACAAACCAATAAAACATCTTTTTAGTACCATGAAATATAGGATTAATTCACACTCGGAAGGGTTTGGGACTGAATGTTACATGTTCTTGCCAAATATGTATATATGTTTTTCTGTGAAGATGAATTGGCTTTCAAATATGGACGCTATATTAGTGAACTGCTTGCCTGTTCCAGGCAAAATACTCAACGTGAATGTCTCAAAAATAAATGCGACAGCAGAAGTGCAAAGCACTTTAGTATACGAACAGCTGAACAGATGGTTTGTCTCTGTGATTTCCCTCTCTTTTACTTCGTGGAAGTTGTAAAACTTACACTAGTCATGTGTGACTTTTCTTTTCAAAATCTCATCCTTTTTTGTCATTTGATTTAGTTTTCTTTATATCAGAAAATTGATTATCCCTCAAGAATAGGCCAATTTGTCTGTTGTTTGATTTGGATGATTTTGTTAATCATTTTTATGTTGATTTCACACTTGATTTCAATAAATCAACTTGATTTTCTATATCTTCTGTTTCATGTTCATGCCAAATTTGACATTTTTAATACATGTTCACCTGGTGGACTGTTGGTTCAAGAACTAGAATTATTGTTAGGTCCCATACGAATGGAAGCCTGTTTCCGCCAGGTAATTTCGACTTTTTATCTCTCAATTCTGACTTTTTTTCTGAATTGCATGATATAAACACAATTGCAAGTTATAAAGTCAAAACTGCGAGATATGAACTCGCAATTTAGACAATTTTTCTCACAATCGCGAGTTTATATCTCACAATTAAAAAAAAAATTTCTCACAATTATGTCTTATTTACTCAGAGTTATAAAATCCAATTCTGAGGGAAAAAAGTACTGCCTATTTTCTTACAATTGCGAGTTTGTATCACAATTCTAACTTTATAACACGCAATTCTGTACCTGGCAAGATGTAAACTTGCAATTGCGAGAAAAAAAAGTTGGAATTGTGAGATAAAATGTCGCAATTAACTTTTTTACTTTTATTCAGTGGTTGGAACAAGCTTCCATACATACACATAGTGATTTGAGCAAGTATTTAACTATGAAACTCCTTTAACCTTTGTAACCTAAATTAAAAAGTGAAGGAGTAACCCAGTCATATCTAGAAACCAGAATATCACAGACAAGCCATTCAGAATGCCTGGGAAACAGCATAGCAAAAAATAAGCATGATTTTACAGTAGTAACTATAATGTTTGGCAGAAACTGTCTCTGTTTTTACTATGGTGCGTTTTTTAAATGGCTGACTACAGTAGCAGAACTGTTTCTCTGTGTCTGCAGCTGGTGGGTTGAAATGCTGAGATGCTCATGTGGGAAGCTGATACAGTGAGAACATACAGTACAGAAAGTCACCACCCGCTATCAAAATATTCACCCTTTGTTGCTCAGAACCTGAATTGAAAACAAACCGTTCTAGCTTTTTCTGGCTTTTCATACAGAGTAACACAATATCCAGAGGAAACGAATCCAAACCACTCTGAATAAGCACTGCACTGCAGTCAGTCCACAGATTCTCACTGGGATTTAGGTTGAGCCCTGACTAGGCCACAAGAGAACGGTCACTTTCTTGTACTTTATGGTTGTTTTGGTGCTCTGATTAGGGTTACTGTCATATTTAAACAGTTGAAACTTTCTGGCAGAGGGCTGCAGGTTCTCCTCAGGCTGTCAGTATTTAGTCTTTTTCAGTCCCGGCTGAAGAGAAACTCCTCCACAACAGGATTCTGCCACTGTATCTTGTTCTTTGGCAGGTAAGATGTGATGGGGTTTGTTGGACATATTGTCTATAGACTTCTTAAAAGACAAAGACCTTTTTAGATTCATTCCCTGTGCCTTTCAACAACTTCATGTTGTGAAAGTACTGTAAATGTTTTGAAAGGAGGTTGTGGCTTTCTGTACCCACTCTACATGTATTTACAGCAAACACAGTTTCCCTTACTGCAAACACGTCTGGATGATTGACAGCTGGGAAGATTTTGAACCTTCACTGTCTCTCTCTCTCTCTCTCTCTCTCTCTCTCTCTGTTCTCTCAGGGAAAGTTGGCAGATGGGAATCATTATGGGGAATACGGAGGCTGGTACAAAGCCTGCAAGGTGAACAGGTGAGAAAAAGCAGCTACAATTACCCAAACCTACCTGCCCCACAGCTAAAACTGATGTCTGCAATTAATTCAGCTGAAACTTCCGCTTAAAGGAATGTTCTGGAAAGTTGAATATGAGTTAAAGGTGCTGTAACGTAACAACAAAATAAGTGTTGAAATGCACTCAAATTTTGCTGCTGACTAAATTCTAAACTTGCCTAAACTGCTTTTCTTTTACTTTTTTTTGCAAGTGCTGCTACTTTCTTCAGAAAATGCAAACCTAGTCTGAATGTTAGATATGTTAGGAATTATATGAGACAAATCTGTGTGTGTTTTCATATACAGCCCCACGGTAAACACCACGCTGAGGAACCTGGGTGCTCTGTACCGTAAGCAGGGTAAAATAGAGGCGGCTGAGACCCTAGAGGAGTGTGCCATGAGGTCCCGCAGACAGGTGCAACATCTGTGAGAATCATAGCGGCGTATGCTGGGACACATGATGTCTTTGTAATGTGTGTGTGTGTGTGTCAGGGAGCGGCAGTGGACCCTCAGAGAGATGGAGAGAGGCGGAGGAGCACTGCATCGATCTCCAGCGTGAAGTACGACTGCAGCAGTGACGCCGGAGAAGAGGGCAGTGTGGAGTGGAATGGGGTGAGTTAGTAATATCTTTGTCATGTTAGGCTGCTTTAAGTGCATGGAGCCCTTAAGGGCACATGGTGATGAAAAAAAAAGTATGAGATGGGGGGGAAAAAAAAAATATTTCAGTGCTTCTTGCAAAAATTCTGCAAAAGTATTGCATTTCCCCAAGAAACTCTGCATTCTCTGCAAGTTAATGCAAATATGTTGCGTTCCCCTGAGAAACTTTCTGATTTCTCAAAAAATATCTTTGTTCTTTTGCAAAAATATTGTGTTCCCATGAGAAACATTGCAGTCTTTCACAAAACATTTGCATTCTTTTGCAAAAGTGTTGCGTTCCTGCGAGAAACATTGCATTCACTCGCAAAAAATTTGCGTTCTTTTGCAAAAGTGTTGCATTCCCTCAAGAAACATTGCAGTCTTTCACAAAACATTTGCGTTCTCTTATAAAAGTATCTTATAAAACTTTTCTTGAGGGAATACAAATATTTTGTGAGAAAATTCATGTTTCTTGGGTGAACGCAAACATTTTACGAGAGAAATATAATTTTACCTTCCATCTCATTTATTTTTACCATCACCACCATATCCATTTAGTGACTCCATAGTAAGTGAGTTTTATTGGAATAACACTCATAAAATGTCCCTGCCATCTGACAGATATCACTTATTAGCCAATCAGAAATACTCTGTGTACCTGTCAATTTTGCATGCATACATCAGGTTTTAACATATTTTTTTTGAAGAGTGGCATATGGCAAAATTAGCAAAGTAGTAGTTAGTAAAATGGCTAAATTGCTAACAGCACCTTTAAATTACACCTAACTTGCATTAAAAATACATCAATCTGCATGAAACCATAATTTACCATATTTTCTTTTAATTCATGTTCCTTGTCCTATTGTAAATTATTCATTAGTACGGAGCCCCACACATGACATGAGGAAACAAGATATCGGGGCTCCAAATGAAGAATTTGAGGCCATGTTTTATTATTTAATTCCCTCATTTTAGTTAAATTGTGGCCACACTGTACTTATTTGTTCCCTCGCTTTAGGGGGTGATATTTGATAACAATATCTTGTTTTTGTCATATGCGGAGCTCCATACATCAGTGCATGTTTTTCTCATATGTGACCCTGGAGCACAAAAGCAGTCTTAAGTCGCTGGGGTATATTTGTAGCAATAA